TTTTCTCATATTGCACCACTCACGCCAACATTTGGGTAAAAGCTTTACCCATATTTCACCACTCACTCTCAACTCATGATCTATATTACTGATCATCTCATCTATCCAACTCACCTTTCATCACACACCCACTATTTAACTCATGATCTATATCACTAACTCATGAAGCTAGTCCGATCACTTCATAAAAGAACAAAGACTCCAAAGCTCTTCCAAATAAAAGTATAGGGAAAATACTGATAAAGTACTCCCGTACGCTCCCGTACCCCGACACGTAATAGTGTCAAAAGGAAGAACTAATGGATGAACTCATAGTTCAAAAATACCTAATGAACATATAGTTTAAACATACGTACCGATTACAAGTCTACTAACGTTCCACTGGGCTATCTAAAATAGTCTGTGGCCGTTGTCTATACTCTGCTAGATGACTAGATCATCTTAAACATCGATACCTCTCATCACTTTTATTTCATCACACATCATCTAATTCATCTACCCATGTTTTACCCAACATATTTGTAGATAAAAATATATATACAGTTTAAAACGTGTATAAAACATCAATTCAACAGTCACCTCAAATAAACAATTAATATATTTACACATAGCACGTATTTTAAGGTAAATACTTCATATCTATGTGTAAGGTGAAAGTGACTATACACTCACCTGATTTAATGAAAATCGGGCAGCAATTCGTTTCCTAAAACGATCGTTTCTAATGAAACCGGGAGTTTTATTGAGAAACCGGGCTCTGCGAGGGTCGGGCTTCGAAACCGAAAAAAATAAATTTTCCGGGCTTCTCGGGCACTCCGGGACGTGTTCCGGGCATTGGAAATGACCTCGGGGCATCGGGGGAAGCGAAAATGGCTAAAATATTGAAAAAGAGGGTGAAAATGCCAAATTCCCAAAAGTACCCGGGCAATCTCGCATGCCCTCTATTTATAGGAGGGGAGATCCGGAGCTTCGGCCGAGAAGGGACACGCGGCAGCGAGGGGGCGAAGCGCGTGGCAGCAGCGAGGGCAGGTGGCGCACATGCGAGGGAGGCCAGGTGCGAGGCTCGGATTGGTCCACCACTTCGGACACGGGGCGAGTCAGCAGCCACGCGTCAGAAGGAGAAGCGAGAAGGGTGGCTCCTCGGATACGTGTCGGACCAGGAGAGGACCGAACTTCGGTCCAATCAGGAGGCGCCTATGACGACTTCGGACCAATCAGCGGGTGACACGCGTACTGCGGTCCAATCAGCAGCGAACACGTGTCCGACACGTGGAAGCCTCGCATGCGAGGGTGACGTGTCCAGCTCCAATCCATGCGAAATTTCTCGAAAAATGTGTCAAATCTTGTAAAATCCATAACTTTCTCATACGGGCTCCGTTTTTGACGTTCTTTATATGCACGCGTAGAGAAAATTATGCTCTACAACTTTCGTTTAGACTTCGTCTTCTAATTTTAACTTTAATTTTTATATTATTATTTTTAACAGACCGGGACTGGTAAATCCGTTAAAAATTCATAACTTCTTCATCCGACGTCTGTTTTCGTCAGACTTTTTACCGTTGTACTACTAATGACGAGACCTTCGATTCTCGTTTAGGTTGTGTCGGCTAAAAATCACTCGATCTAAAATTCGAGTTTTTAGCTGTCTACTGCTAAGCTGAAACTTCGAAAAATCATAACTTCCTCATGCGAAGTCAGATTTGGGCGTTCTTTTTATCGAACTTCTCGGTTTAACGAATACTACGAGTTTCGTTTAGATTACTAAGGCTAAAAAGTAGTTTATCAAAAACTCACTTTTTACGACATTCGGCCCCGTGCCGGTTTTGTCGCGAAACTTCGACATGTCATAACTTCTTCGTTATAACTCGGATTTCGACATTCTTTATATATCTGTAATCCTTGTCACGCCCACTACAAGTTTCTTAATAGATATCGGCTTTATCTAATATTTAATTTTGACGCTCATTTTTATTCTTAATTAATTAAACTCTAATAATTAAGCATAAAACACATAATTCACATAAAATTCACATAATTCCTTTTCATTTCTTCTAAATGAGTTAAAAAGGTTAACCTAGACCATTATGTCAATATTAATGTCTAGCCTAGAAACACGGGCGTTACAATATCCTTTATTGTTCAAAAAAATACTATTTTTTTAAGTTTTAAAGGGCCTCATTCTTTGTATTTGCCCCGGGCCTCAAACCGGCTTGGACCGGCCCTGCATACAACCATACAATGTACGACTTCTGAATCAACAACTTGTACATTCTCATATATATATATATATATATATATATATATATATATATATATATATATATATATATATATATATATATATATATATGTGTGTGTGTGTGTGTGTGTGTACAAGTCCTGATGCACAATTTACGCATCAAATGCTTGTATAATCGTAGATCTGCGATTTCATTGTCATCTCAACTACGAAATGCTCTCAAAATCGTATGTTAGCTATGAAATGTTTTCAATACCAATATATCTGCGGTTTTCTCACTTTATACCCATAGATCTAAGATTTTTCTACCAAAAATTATATATATTATGTTTTTTTTCCAAGTAAACCATAAACAAACGTATCCTATATTTTATAAAAGCTGATACATCATGATCAAAACACTAAATAAGTAGAGATCTTACCATGTTTTCGGAAGAATACATATTTTGGTCCATTAAAGAGCTTCGGAGAATTTCCCCAAGTTGAAAACTAGAAAAATGAGGGTTTTCAAAAAATTTGGGATATTTATACTTCTAGCCGTAAGTAGCAAATATCCTCAACCCCAAATAACAATAGCCTCCAAAATCGCAGATAGGTTAATTACCTGTGATTTTGATGTTTTACGTAAATTGCTAATTTTTTTTAAATTTATTAATGTTTTTGGCTATTTTTATTAATTTCTCTAAAAAGTATTTTTAAAATAATAGTTTTTTAAAACACGTCCCAAAACCATTCTTTTTATATTCAATTTAAACACAAGTATATTCATACACTGCAACTGTGAAACTCAAGAGTCAAGATACATGTTGGCTGCTTTCAATGTTTTGATTGTAGCTCGTAATCTAACCCCATTTGACAATTAATAAACAGGTGTCACGTGAGCTCTTACACAACAATTTTTGTTTGTATTACTTCCCCTGAAACTTCCCGGTGTTCTTCTTCACCGCCGCCTTTCGCCACCGAAAATTATTGCTATATATACGACTCCTCTCTTTCCATCTTCCCTGAAGTACCCGATTAAGGTCTGTTTTCATGCATCGTTTCTGGGTTTATGACTTGCTATTATTTTTTTATATTCATCTTGGTGCTTTCTTTTTTGCTTTTTATCCGATGATTCTGAAGAATTCGAAGTTTCTAATTACCATCATTGCTCTGAGCAATCGAAGGATTTGGTGGCTTTCTATCATGATCTTGATTGTGTAATATACTTGTGTTGCTTCAGATTGATTGATTTTAAGTGATCGTATGATTTGTTGCCAAAGTTCCGTGATGGAAACGGAAGTGTTTGTTTCTTGATTTACTTTTTCTATGAACTTTTTTGCAATGTTTGATCATAAATGAGTACACGGTTCATATCCAGACCAAAGGGGCAATCTAAGGGGTCAATTGGTCAGTGTTCTTGTGAATTCGAATATGAATTTGATTTTTATGTATTCTTTATTTTGGAATTCAAGGGTTTTTGTCAAGAGGATTCAGTTTCTTTTTGGATTTTCAATGTTGAAGTTATTAACAAGAAATTAAGCATCTAATGTTGTGTTTATGCATGTCTGATATGTACAAACGAACAATGAAAAATGGACGAATCTGAGTAGCTTGTTCGCCATGTTCATTGACGATCTCATTTCTCCAGCTTCTAATTATACATCAAAGTGCAATATATGCATGATAAACTGAAATAAACATTGTTACATTGCTCCAAATTGACCTTAAACTTCATTTTTCAGCAAGTTTTTGTCAGCTTGAAATATGGAGATTACCAATGTAATGGAATATGAAGCACTTGCAAAGGAGAAGTTACCCAAGATGATCTATGATTATTATGCATCAGGTGCAGAAGATCAATGGACTCTTATGGAGAATCGAAATGCTTTTTCAAGAATCTTGTAAGTAGTTTCTTCACTTCATTCATTTCTCTATCCTCATAACATTAATCTTGATTTCTTTTATACAAAAACAGGTTTCGACCACGTATACTAATTGATGTAAGCAAGATAGATATGACCACAACAGTTTTAGGTTTCAAGATTTCAATGCCTATAATGGTTGCACCTACAGCTATGCAGAAAATGGCTCATCCTGATGGTAAAGACTAGGGTTGTTTCTTTTTGACTTAATCTGGATAGAATGACTTAATGGGTTAAGCCAAAAAAACCTGGGTTAATGTATTAAGACACTAACCCATTACCTATTTTCCCTTGTTATTTTTTCCTTCTAACTCCTCCCACGTTAAAATTGATGAATATTTGTGGAATGTGTTTATTAGAATGTAAGGGTAAAATGGTCATTTAGTCTCATTCAAAACTACCTTATGTATGCATCACTTTATCTTTGAGCACTTTAATCGAATTTAATTTTTTATAGGAGAGTATGCAACAGCAAGAGCATCAGCAGCTACTGGAACAATCATGGTTTAGTTCCTTACCCTCTTCATTATATTTTCTTTCTGTCACATCAGTCTGACACAGTCCCATCTGTCTCAATATACGTTGGAGTCTACCCTCTCTTTTTAATAAGGGGTTTTTTTTTTTTTTTTTTTTTTTTTTTTTTTTTTTTTGCATATAAAATCTAGTACTCTACATATCTAACTAATTCAATTATTTATATTGGTTTTCCAGACATTATCCTCATGGGCTACTTCCAGTGTGGAGGAGGTTGCTTCAACTGGTCCTGGTGTTCGATTTTTCCAACTCTACGTGAGTGCCTCTATTTTTAAAAACTTTTTAAAAAAATACGTGTGATTATTTCATATAAAAGTACCCAATTTATAGCTAATTGTTCCCAAAACATTTCTCCTATCACTAGGTGTACAAAGACAGGAGTGTTGTTACACAACTGGTAAAAAGAGCCGAAAAAGCTGGTTTCAAGGCTATTGTCCTTACTGTTGATACTCCAAGACTCGGTCGAAGGGAATCTGATATCAAGAACAGGTCAAACCATAGACTTCAAATTACTAATTTACCCCTCTTTCTTTATAGCTTCAATGAGCGAGTTAACATGTTTCTTGAATGTGTCCTCTTACAGATTTGCTCTGCCACAAAATCTGTCATTGAAAAACTTTGACGGGTTAAATCTTGGCAAGCTAGATAAGGTGAATATGATAATATTTTACATAATCAACGCTTTTTAACTTTTCTTTTTCCCATTATAATTACATCAAGATTTTTTAAATTTCAGACAGATGACTCGGGGTTAGCTTCATATGTTGCTGGTCAAGTTGACCGGTCTCTTAGTTGGAAGGATGTGAAGTGGCTCAAGTCAATAACCCCGTTACCTATTTTAGTGAAGGGTGTATTAACTGCTGAAGATGGTAAATGATATGAAGGAATATATATATATATATATATATATATATATATATATATATATATATATATTTTTGATTCCTAGTTCTATGTATATACTAATCATTCTCCTTTATTAATATTTTTATCTCATTGCCATTTTCCAAAATTTCTTTTAGCAAGGATCGCAGTGCAATCTGGAGTAGCGGGAATTATTGTGTCAAACCATGGAGCTAGGCAACTTGATTATGTCCCTGCAACTATTACGGCTTTAGAAGAGGTCTATCTATACTTCACTTGATTCTTTTATTGTCCTTTGTCACACAAGACAATACTGAACTGACAATATTGAACAGGTTGTACTGTGTTTGTCATGCATTGAATTGAGATAGTAATATTATATTCTACAGGTGGTGGAAGCTACTCAACGTAGAGTTCCGGTATTTCTTGATGGAGGAGTTCGGCGTGGGACAGATGTCTTCAAGGCATTGGCTCTTGGAGCATCCGGTGTATTTGTAAGTATAATCTTTTGTGGTTTTCTTAATGTTTTTTTATTTCACTTGAATAAATTTGGATTCAAATCCGTGTTGGTTTACCTTATATAACATGTTTGTTATGATGGTTTTCAGATTGGGCGACCTGTCATTTTCTCATTGGCTGTAGATGGTGAGGCTGGTGTGAGGAAGACTCTTCAAATGCTGCATGATGAACTTGAGCTCACGATGGCATTGAGTGGGTGTTGTTCACTAGCAGAGATAACACGCAACCATATTGTGGCACCATGGGACCCACCACGTATAGCTCCTAAGCTTTAAGCTGTAGCTGAAAAATATGTGAAATGTTATGGTTTGAGAGGTAGCTTATGTTTGTTGTAATTTGAATTAGTGCCTTTGGTTCGTGTATGGATGATAAACTAATAAAAATTTGGTGGATCGTTGGGTAAGTCATCTTTGTTGTTTTTTTAATATATATGCCACCTAAATGAAGAAAAAAAAATTTCAAAAAGGGATAATCACAAAAACGCACGAAATGGTATGGTTTATTTGAGAACTTGTTAGTCCCAGCTTACTGTTTAGATTTGATGATGGCTTAAATGGTTATAAGTGCCCCCAAAATATAAGCTCTCACAATCTGTCTTAGAAGATTGTGTGGAACGGCAGATGGGGTTAGATTGTCTTGAATATTTAGCTTGGAACAAGCATAATTCTGTTAGAATATGTTGATCAATCTTTGTAGTAAAATGTGGCATTAAAATAAGTTTAGGGTTAAAAGTATCAATAAGGCTAAAGTGTAGGGACCGTTACTATAAATATGGGGAAAATGAATATAACCCATTATTAGATAATATACGTACAGTAGGTTCTAATTTCCAAGTTTTTTAATATGTATAATGACAAAAAAAAAAAAAAAGTCTCTTTTTATTTTATTTTATTATTATTATTTTTTTGCAATTTAACCATTAAAATTGGTTATCACTTGCAATTTGACTCAATTTTCAGGTTACCGCAAACGATAACAGGTTTCGATGGTTAAATTGTAAACAAAATATCAAATGTGATTTTTTTTGTCAATAAGCCAAAATATAGGTATTTTTTCAATGCATAATAATTTTTAACATCAAGTCTTATACTCCTTCCGTCCCAAAATTATTGTCCAATTACAAAAAACACACAGATTAAGGAAACATTAATTACCACTAACTTTAACATCAAGTCTTATACTCCCTCCGTCCCAAAATCATGTTACATTAAATGTTTTGTTGGTTAAGTAATAATGATGGGGTATTTTGGTAAAAATGTTACTTATTTTTAAAAGTGAACTATTATTTTGGGACAAACCAAAAAGGAAATGTGGACTATAATTTTAGGACGGAGAGAGTATATTTTAAGAATGTTTGGGATTTCATTTTGAACCTCAAAAGGACTTCTAGACAAAATGACTTATTAACTTATAGTGGTGAGAATATAAACTTTTTAAAAAAATGTTTAGATTAGCTTTTATGGTAGGAAAAGTCAACAAGTCAATAAGTTGTTTTTTAAAAAATAATGTGTGTCTTAACTTATACATGTTTTAAGGGGTATTTGATTTTTACAGCCCAAAAAATTATAAAGAATTTTGAAAAGCTAGAAATTCTAACTTATTGAAAAAAAATTATTTTATTTTTTGTTGAAACACCCTCTACATTATAATCTATTTTGTTGAAACAACCATTACAATTTGTTTGATTTTTAATATATGATAATTGTTGGGGATTTCTTGTATCAAGTACACAATTTAAAGGAGGATGGATAATCCTAAGATTTACATAAGTGAACATGCATTCTAGAATCTAGGTTTTACTAGTTATAGCAACGAACTTTAAAACTAACAAAAGAAGTATAAAAATACTTGCATCTTGGTCCTTAGATCATGTGGTCGACAACCTTCCAATGGATAGAGAGCCCAAGGCTCCAAAAGCAAAACAAGGAAAACCCTATTAGGGTTTATTCGAAAATCCCATAACCCTAGAGAGGGGTTATAGATTTCGTATATAGAAAAGAGAGAGAGAGACAGAGAGAGAGAGAGAGAGAGAGAGAGAGAGAGAGAACAAAAATTAAAGGCTTTATTCTTGTTATTATTTAGAAATATTACTAACTAGTTAATGAAATTGGGCACCATTTCCAACAATAATAAATAAATATATTTTTTAATTATACTTCTATTAAATAAAATATATGTCACATTTTGATGATTGAACTAAATCAAAATTTGATACGAAATATACATCCACATACCAAATACTTGTTTGAAAACAATGCATCAACTCATCCATGGATCGATAGAGAAGATGAAAAACAATTTTGTCCGCATGACATAGAAACTCTATTATTGCAATATTTCAGCAATAAGTATTCTTAATTTATATAGAATATATATTACAATATACCACATTGATACCAATATGCCTACAGTTTTAAAAATCCAAACAACAAACGTCATAGTGTCTTCTTTCTCTCTTGGATTTTCATAATGGTTACCAATATCAATAGTGGTTTCATAATTGTTTAAAAACATATTTATGCAACTAACAAAATCATGTTTTTTATACATATTAACCCACATGAAGATTTTTCAACCAAGTACTTGATATATGAATGTATTTCGTATCAAATTTTGATTTAATTTTATCATCAAAAACTGACGACACATTTCATAACAATATATTTTTATATTTTAGTAAATAGAAGTATAATTAAAAAATATTTATTTATTATCATATATTAAAAATCAAACAAATAGTAATGGTTGTTTCAACAAAAATAGATTATAGTTTAATTTTAAAATAGATAAGACTTGTTAAAAATTATTATGCATTGAAAAAAAAAATTACATATATTTTGGCCTATTGATAAAAAAAGTTACACTTGATATTTTGTTTACATTTTAACCATCGAAACTTGCGATTGTTTGCGGTAACCTGAAAATTTAGCCAAATTGCAAGTAATAGCCGGTTCCAGTGGTTAAATTGTAAAAAAAATAAATAAATAAATTATTGGTAACTTTATTTGTCAATAAAACCAAAATATAGGAACTTTAATGCATATTTTTTTATTTGGTACATTTCTTCGTAATTTATCATTTAATTCTTCCGTAAATAAACAACAAGTGGTAACAAAGCTTGGAATATTTGAATTTTTCATTGAACGTGGGTTTAATGTGAAGGTTCTTGACTGAATTTTTACTTGATTTCTTCGACATTTCTTCATAATACATATTTATTTATATTTGAGTTTTGAATTCATAAAAACTAGGAGTTACATATCTGTGATGCACCAGAAACCTTATGTATGTAGAATAACAAAAGAAATTATTTACAACAATGTTAAGTTTAACGGTCAAAAAAGTGCATCCAATGTTTGTTTGGAGAAATAAAAAAAATGTCGTAATATATTCAAAAGATATTACCACACGATTAACAAATACTAACTTTTAATTTATCATTTATTATAATTTTATGAGAAAATTACAAATTTAGCCAAATACATTAATTATTTTGTGAAAAATAGCCAAAAAAAACTCAAATTACAAAATTAGCCCTTAAAATCGCAGATGGATTAAGCCCATCTGCGATTTTGCATTTCCATATGCAAACGTACAAGTGCCTAAAGCGCAGATGTGTTTTAGGCACGTTCGCAGATGGAACAATCCATCTGCGATTTTGTGTATTCCATCTGTGATTTCGTAGAGATTTAGTATAAAAACGTTTTTTTTTCTTTTCATTTTTCACTATCTTTTTTTAGAGAAACTCTCTATCCCTACGATTTCCTTAGAGCCATCATGGACGATTTCTTCAACAATCCCGAAACAACATTTTAAACAAATTTTCCAAAGAAATAACAACAAAAATGATAATTTCTTGAAAAAATTTATATATAATAAGGTTTTTTCGTAGTCAAACCCTATCAATTTCGTAGTAAAAAAAAATTCAAAAAATCGCTGGTGAAAACGAGAGGAAATCGCAGATGGACATAGTCCATCTGCGATTTTATGTTGGAAAAGGAGATATATATACAGCGAAAAAAATTAAAAAAAAAAAAAACCACCTGCGAACGTACAAGTGGCTAAACACAAACGTGCTTTAGCCACTTGTATGTTCGCAGATGGGAAGGCGAAATCGCAGATGGCTTATATCCATCTGCGATTTTAGTGGCTAAAAATGCAATTTTGATTTTTTTTGGCTATTTTTCACAAAGTAATTAATGTATTTGGCTAAATTTGTAATTTTCTCTAATTTTATATATTTACAAAATAGGTATTTAGATAACACTTAAATGATTAATTATATAAGATAAATCGATGAAGAAGGAATATAGAAAATAATAGGAACTAGATGGAATTAGATGCGCCCTTGGCGCTGTGTACCTTTTTTTTCGTTATTTGAAAATATAGCAGATAAGTAACCATATTATAATTTTTAGCGTTCTCTTGGTTTCCCAGCATGTTGCTTCTAAAGACTGCCCTTTTTCGGTAGGATGTTGGTCCAGCTTACTACTACGAGGGATGTTCATATCAGCTACATAGGAACGCATTAGATGCAAGGATGTATGTCGTTGGTTTTTTTTTTTGTTTTTTTTGTTTTTTTTTTTTTTTTGAGAGTTTAGATATGTGTTTGTATAAGAAAGCGAAGTAGTGATACCCTAACTGAAGTACCCAACGGAAATAACCTTAAATTTTAGCTCTAATTTTACCCCTCCAACTTCTCTTTCTTGTTTCTTTGGCCCTGCAAGAAACGGACATAAAAATGAAGGCGTCTTTGGTCCAAAAATAAATTTACTCTTAAGGAAAAAAAGGCCATTAAATAAAATAAAAACAACAAAAGGATACAAGTAGTCTAGACTGCCATTTCCAATAAGAATAGGTTCTACAAATTCCTCTGCTAACCTGAAATTAAGGCAAAACATCAAAAGCAAATTATCAAAAACTTGAAATTGAATGAAAATAAGAGTATGGAAGAAAGAAAAGGGGAAAAAAGAAAGAAAAAAAATTATAATAGTCCACTTAACTTACCTGCAGTTCGTCCTTGTGATCTTGTAGCATATAAATTTCAGGTTGCACATGCTTTAACTGCACAACAAAAAAATCAATCAACAGTAAAGTAACTTAAAAAAAATAATGACAGAGCTATGAACAGTATGGGATCATCTTCTTACCGTGCTTTCATAGTCATGTCGAATGCTCTTTTATAGTCGATGTACCGTCTCGGTACGTGATGGGGAGCGGGGCCGGGAATGGGAATGGGAACAGGACGAAGGGAAAAAAAATATTTCTTTCTCTCGAGCGTGTATTTTATGTTTCTTTCGTTCTTGAGATTCATCTTCCCCATTTCTTATACGTATTTCATCGGATGATCTAATTCGACGATTTTGAATCGTTGTTGTTCTTACATGAAACCTACACAGCTTCTTTACCTGTAAAAGTTACCTCACAACTTTACACATTTCTTTAAATGTATATTTATATAAAGAAAAGAAAAAAAAAAACCTTATCAGCTTTGAAGAGACATTCAAATTTATTCTGTGTGCACCAGTGTTCTTTAATGACATCCTTAAAATTCTATTGTGCTACCGTAAAACAATTATCGAGCAGAGGAAATCTAACCTGAAATCCAATAATACAAAATATCATTATTCAGTACTCATTAATGATTAGTTTAAATCAAATAAACATAAACATGAAAAATGAAAAATTAATGAATAGTTGAATAGTAACGAATGTTATAAGCACCAGGTCTACCAACTTTGAAGATTCCATACGTCAATCTGAGATCAACACCAAACAGAAACAATATCATTCCTTTATAAATATTTGGAATAATCTCTAAATCTTCTATTAGACGGGACCGGTTTTGTAATTTTTTGCTGTTAGAAGTATAAACACAACAGTTGATACATGCTCTTTTTATAGGTCTATCTTTAATGTTTGGTAAACTGGACAGATTTGCCCCTGAACATTGAAGAGGCCTCTCCTGTCGAAGCTCCTAATAACCACAATGACAAAGTTATGAGATTCATCACATAATTGATTTTTTGTGTATTAGGGGTGGGTAATAACAAACCTCATCTTTTGCCTCTGTGGTTCAGCATCGAACATATAATTGAGTTGAAGATTGACATCCAAATCAACCCGAAACAGAAAAGTAATCAAACCATATATCCAAAGATATTTGATGACCAAACTCACCTTACCTGCACTAAGATTAAAAATATGTTACAATTTATAGCAATTGACTAAAAAAAGGGTAAATGAAAGAAATAACAGTGTATGTTTATAGATTTTTTCTTATAAAATCCTACTTTCAAGTCTTCCTATTACAACATTGTACTTTGAAAAAAAAGTACAATGTTATAAATTGGATATATTTTTCAAAGTACATGTCTTGATAAGAAAAAATATGAAAGTACAACGTTGTAATAGAAAGAAATAAAGATTGGATACTAAAAATATAATACATAAAACAAAAAAGTGGAAGTACAATAATATAAATGTTTCTTACCTCTCAACCAATTGCAAAATAAGGTCTCTGGATTGAGGATTACCACCTGATTTACTGCTGACTATTGCAAGAGCAAATGCACCCACATGAAAAGCCCCACAACCAGGTCCCCTTGACAGGCCTATACAAAATCAAATCTTATTGAACTTGATTGTTATCCTCCAGAAGATATTAAATGAATTAATAAGTTACCTGTGTGATAGTCCATAATAGAACTGGAAGCTTATCTTGACCTTGATATTTAGAACCCTCTTTTACACAAATATGGCAAACTGTCATGATAATTGCATAATGCTTGATCAATATGAAACATCAGTCAATGTTTCAAGGAAAAGCTCGTTTTTGAATAAAAAAAATTTCTATTTGGAGAACATCTATACATCATCATTGTTAAACATATCATAGTTTATACCATTGTTCATAGACCATTTACCTGAGATTTTGAAGGTGCTTGGTGAACCACCTTCTTTGAACCCTTGATACTCCCTTGATGGAGAGCCAGGTCTGAAAGTATGTTATCTAAGGACCACACAACAAAAGGACCCAAGAGCATCTACAGGTTGGTGGTTAACCCAGTCTGCTGATGTCCTATAAACATCTTCAGAAATATGTGATAAAGGGATCTGCATAAAGTCAACTAAATCAGTCTAAAAAGGAGTTTCCTACTCATCAGTAGCATATTCCTCTGGAAAGTAAAGCTTGGGATACAGAGAAACAAAAATCCAAATGTACGATGATGAATCTTTGGAGAATCTTCTAGATCATCAAAAGCAGGTAGGTTGTCATAAGCTTAAAAAGTGAAATTTAAAAGTAATAAAAAGGAAGAGGATGCTCTTACATCAATCATCTTCTCGACAGAAGCCTCCTTGAGAGTTTTCATCCATGGGAACTGAGATGCATTTACGGAAGCAAATGCTCGACCAAAATACTCGGCGAACCTCATTAGCCGTATGTCTGGTTGTGATTCATACGATTCCTATGTATAGAATTGTTTATACGACAGCGTTTGATGATGGTCGTCCACCTCTCTCTGGTAGTCGCCGGCAAGGAGAGATCGTAGGAGTCTAGAGGAGCATGGGGAGGGAAATGTAAAATTGAAATACGACTCTTTAACAGTACAAATATATATACAAAGATACATGACGATAAAAAAAAGCACATGTTCATAAAATATGACGCTGAGTTGCAAATGATAAAACTATTTCATACCTCGTCTGCCTCTTCCCTCTCCAACTCCTCAACTGAACGAAAGGAAGTCCCAATCGATTACAGTAGTCAGCGGCGTTACCTGGATTAAAGTGAAACGAAAAACGTTAGAAGAACCCCAAATTAACTCTCACAGGCAAAAGTACGCCACAAGAAGAACCCCTAAGGCATCACTGGTCTGTCAGCTGACCACTTTAGAAGAAGAAGGCATCACTGGTCTCTGTCTGCTGACCACTTCGATGGACTGCCTTCGCCACCAGCGGTCGCCTTGAACGCCGACGAAACTCCTCCGGGATTGGTCGCCGGTTTGTCGATCACCAGCAAAAGCTTCAACGTGAGTCACCGACGGAGAGAGACATAAAACAGCAGCCATAAGACCGCGTCAGACAAAAAAAATTACAACACAATACCTAAAGAGGAACAGAGACGGAAAGCAGCAGAAGCAGACAGAGAAGAGACGTTAAGAAGAACAGAGAGGCCAAAATGAAATTAGTTCTCATTCTACACCGCCATATGTTTTCCGATTCTTATCTTTTCTTTTTTGATTGTGCCGCCCTTCTCCTCCGATAGGATTCTCCACCGCCATTGACTGATTGGAAGAAAAAGGCAGCAACCAACGCAGAGGAGAAGAAGATAAGCACAAAGAAAAAGAAGCAAATCAGCAAGTAAATCCAAAACACCGACCTCTTACTGGGGCAACCGACATTCAGGAGAAGAAGATAAGGACCAAGGAAACGAAAGTATTGAGCAACTAAAACCGAAATTCCAGTGCCAAAATAAGAAAGGAGAAGACTTCTGTGCCCAAATAAGAAAGAGAAAGAACTTTACTGTTTCTAAGGGTTTTAGGAATTGATAGTATATATAATGTTTAGAGTTCAGCAAAATATTTTTCAATTTACCATTTAGTATAAAATATATATTCCTAAATTAGTTATTTAGATTACAATTAAATATGTAAGTAAATCAAAATAGAATATAGAAAACAATTGAAGTGATTGGGGTTGAATAACATAATAGTGAGTGAAAGTTGATAAAATATAGTACTGAAAACATTTAGAATATTAGAGTATTTGGGTTGAAGAAAACAATGACCTGTACATGGACATGTAGTCGTTTTTTACGCCACAAATAAAAAAAAAAAAAAAAAGGTGTTGAACATGATGCAATGCACCAGAAAATATGTACATATAATAGGCAAAACATAATATACAATGAAATGATGTTTTATATGTACAACCTTACATAAATAAAAACGGATTTCTGAAAAACATTAATTTGTAAAACTCAGAAATCTTTAAGAAACATGCATAAAAGCATAAAGATCTTTGTAAAAAAATTCTAAAGAAAACTAATTTTATAGATATTTCACAAAAATAAGTTGTAAAAATATGTAAAAAGGCAATATTATAAAAAAGATAGAAAATGAATTTCTAAATAAAACAATTTATAAAAAAAATCTTAATGAACATGAATAAAACAACGAAATGTATATAAAAAGTTAGGTTACAAGAAAATTATGTGAGACATGGAAACGTATTCCTAACCAATTATTTTTCATGTCAACAAAAAATATTATAAAATTCAAAATAAATAGAAATTCCATATATATATATATATATATATATATTATTTTCGTTATATTTTATCCAAAAAATAAATTACCGTTTTTTTACATTACGTGTATATTTTCTAGAATTTATAGAATATTTTAGTATTATACTAAAATATTACATTATTATTTTTTTTAGAATACCACATAGTATTTTAATAAAATATTATGCATATAGTTATTCTAACACAATATTATAATCTTTTAAAATATTCAAATAGGATATTATACGTACAATTCTATTAGAATATTCATGTATATACATTAAAAAACAATAATTTATATTTTTATATTTTTTTATATAAAATAAATAACGAAAATAATATCTATAAAAAAAGAATTTTGGACTTTTCAATTTACTTTGCATTTTAGAAATTTTTTTTAAATTTTTTTATCTCAAAAATAAATAGTTAAGATCATGTCTTCACGTCTCACAAAAAATTCATGGTTTCAAATGAATTTTTACCTATATATAAATACTTGTAAATTTAAGAAAACCAATATTACCCTCTTGTCCTCCACCCCCTGCCCTGCAATTTATCCGCTAGGCAACATATCATTTTGTGTTGTTTGGGTGGTCAGAGTAGCACGGATTGTGCCTAATATTACTTCTAAACAATCTTTGAGACGAATAAAATAGCAATATAGTTACGATTTGTGGATTGCAAAATGTTACTATTTAAATTTGTTAAATATTTATTCAAATTGGTTTTTTCGTTTATCATGTGATAAAATCAAGACGAAATTGTGAAAGTGTTAAATAATATGAAAAACCTATATGACCAAAAAATCAAAACAGAAAGCAACTTTTATCATACACCCAAAAATGATCATTACAATTTCAAATAACAACTCAAATTATAGAATACATTTTAATATAATTAAGTACAAATAAAATAGACAATATTACATTGTATTTAAAAACAACATGACATTTAATTTAAACTAGTAGTTTTAAATAATATTTATGATATAACAAATTAATAATGTGAGTAAATTACAATATCCGGTCCGTTCTGAATTTCCAATCATCTCTATTCTTCTTCAATAATTTTATGGAAGGAGAAAATACATAAACTCTTACTAACGACTAATCATAAAAAACATATTTTCAACTTAGTGATTTCTCAGCCACTAACTTATTTTCATGAAATCTTTGATCGATTCGATTTCTCTATTAATGGTATCTCGATCGTAACGAGTAATTTCATTTTTCTATTACATATTTTTGTAATGGTGTGTATTGGATGGCGGTTTTGATTTGGGAAAATGACTTATGAAAGTAACTACTTCTTATGTTTGTTCACATGTTGACGACTTCTTCTTTTTTATACACATAAAGCCAACTAACTTGTTTTATGCGTTCAATTTACACCAATATTACCGGTTAACGCCTGTTTTAACCAGCTGACTCAAATTAGCTCATTTAAAAGAAATTATGTGGCATACTACGTGTTCATTACACCCTTTTGTCCGAAATCGACTTCATTTAATTGGGGTTCCTCACATTTACTCCCAAATCGTTCCCGATTAATTAAGTTTTCTCATAAAGCAATCGATCGAAGTAGTAGGAACTCATTGTTTGGAATTGAAGTTGGGACTTGAAATCGTCGACTGTAACATGTCAGAATCATCTAACGTTACGTAGATTTTCACTACAATGGAATGTTTGCACCAAACCCATTAGTGTACTTAGACCCTATAAGAATGTCAGTTCGTGATGTGGATTTTGGTGGCATGAACTATAGAGAATTTGTGTTGTGGGTTACAAAGCTGACTAGACGAAGGTGTGAAAAATTATACTATTGTAGTAGAAATGAAACATTGGCAGAAGGTATTAGAAGAATCAACAATGATGCTAATTATTTTGAGTTATTGAAGATGATTACATGCCTAAGAACGAGTTAAGAATGAATGTCTACATTGACCACCAAAATGTACCTATTCTTGACTGGGCCGATAAGGAGGTGTTAACAGGTGATGAGGTGTCTAAGTTGGTAGAAGATGAAGATATGGACTCACATATTTCAGATATAATGGAATATAAGCATGAACCTGATGAAGAGGTGCATACTTTTGACAAAACAATTGATGATGAATTTTTGAACAAGTTGTGTGGTAAATCCATTCCTAATAGTAATGAAGAAGTAAATGATGATGATGAAGATGATGAGGTTGTGTTCCCTATCTTTGATGAGAATCAATAATGGGATAAAATGGTCCTAGTTTTAGGTATGAAGTTTTCCAACCCAATGTAATTGAAGCTATGTCTATATAACTATGTCGTCAAGATTAGGTATGCTTTATGGTTTGAAAAAACTGATCATCAAAGGTTGTTGGCAAAATATTGTAAACATAAGAAGAATAAGAAGAATAAGAGTTGTCCCTTTAGGTTGTGGGCAACCTGGATGAAGAATGAGAGGTATTTTCATATTAAGTCCTTAATTGATAGGAATAATTGTTCAAGAGTATTCAAATTTGGGTCCATTATAACCTACAAATGGATTGGAACTCATTTCATGAATGAGATATTGTAGAAATCAAATATGAGCATTAGGAAATTGAAAGCTAAGGTCAGTAAAAGTTTTAACCTGATAGCAAGTGTTGGATAATGCGGAAATGCTACGAAATACACATTTCAACAGATAGAAAGTACTTTAATATGGAATTATGCCTAAACATGGAGCTGTGGATAAGAGCTAAAAAGGACAAATCTTGGATCAATAGTTAAGATGGAGGTAGATGTGATGTCTGATAGAAACATACTTCTCAAAGTTTTATGTGTGTTTAAAGGGTTTGAAGGATGGACAGAGGGAGGGTTGTATGAGGGTAATTGGAGTAAATGGTTGTTTCTTAAAGGGCATATGCAGAGGTCATTTTCTTGCAACCATTGAGAGGGATGAAAACAATCACATATATCATGTTGCATGGGCTGTGGTTTCTGGATCTTCTGATTGATGACATTGGAATGAGAGTTAGGAATGGACTAACCATAATATCAAACCAACACAAAGTAATGTTCAAACTTCCCTTATTGATATTTTTCATACTTAATATGTTTAAACTTATGCTTTGTATGTATTGATTATAGGGATTAACTGAAGCTGTGAAGGAAAGGTTTCCAGCTGCAGAGCATAGGCAATGTGCTAGGCACATCTGTGCTAATTTCCAGAAGATTTAAGGGTCAAATATTTAGGAAGCTGTTTTGGAGAGTTGTTGGATCTACAATTCAACAAAAATTTGAGTACCATATGAATGAAATCAAGAAGCTGGAACCACTGGCTTATGAACATTTGATGGAAAGGGACCCTAAAACCTGGCGTAAAGCATTTTTTCAGGTTGATAGGAGTTGTGATGCATATGAAAATGGTGTTTCTAAAAGTTTTAACTCATTGATTGAAGCTTCTAGGAAGAAACCACTCATTAACATGTTCGAAGAAATCCAGATTTATGTGATGGAAAGGTTATGTATTTACAAGAGCAAGGGTCAATCTTGGGATGTAAATATATGTCATTCCATAAGGTTGAAGTTGAACAAGCTTAAGGAACAACAAAGGTAAATTGTTGTTGCTTATATGTTTGATATTTTAATATTTTCTAAATTATATGTGATTGTGGACAGGTTTTGGCAAGTGGTAGCTTCTGGTTATATGCAATTTGAGGTGGGGCTAGGGTCTGATGGATATGTTGTAGACCTTAATACCAGATAATGTGGATGCAGGGCTTGGCAGTTAACAGGGTATCCTTGTATGCATGGATATGCT